GTGAAGCTGAAGGCAGGATTTCCTCCTTCCTCTGTGGACTGAAGGAGACTGTCCCAGCACTCCTGCTCTCACAAGAAGGATTAAGCCCTGTATGGTTGTTTGTTCCATTTGAAACGAGCTGCTTCATATTCAGTCAGCTGGTGGAGGATCTAGGGATACGTGGGCATGTCTACATGAGATGCTAAAAGCGCAGTAGACTAATTGTACTGCATGTTAGTGCAACACAGAGAAAGCCATGCTAATGCGCAGCAGAACTAGTCTATTGTGCATTACTGTCACGTAAAAGATGGGCACCTGTGCTAGTGTGCGGCAGTGCTGATTAGGGTGCATTTAGTACCTGTTACCACAGGTACTAAACTTAATGCACTGTAATTATGGTGCATTAATGCATGTGTAGACGTGATCGCTGAGTGTTAGCTTACCACTTCTGGCTTTTTGCTTTGGAGAGTGGGTTTAATCTTCAGTGCAGGCACTGCATCCAGAGTTGGCTGGTTCTGATGTGTTAAACCCTAACTGCCTGCTTGTATTGTAGCTCCGACCCAGTGAAATCCCAGTCACCACTAAGTCTCCTTGTGTCAGCCCTATCACAAGCCTGATTTGAGGCATGAATCCTGGGTTGTTCATTGACCCTTTCAGGATTCACATGCAGTCTGGATGAAGCTAGAAAGTGATGGATCTGCCTCTCATACCTGACTACAGTGATGGAGAGAGACAGGTTGCAGTTAAAGGTCACAGAAATCATACAGAAGTAGAGACGTGGGGCTGGAAGGGACCTGCAGAGGTCACATCTAGTCCAATCCCCTGCCTGAGGCAGGTTTATTTCAGTCCAAACCACCCCATACAGTCCACCTCATCTAACCTCTTCGTAAGACTACCATAAACTCTGAGACAACACCAGACTTAACACCCCAACCTAGAATCATAGAAAATGAAGGTGTGAAGGGGCTGCAGGAAGTCACATCTAGTCCAACCCCTTGCTCCAAGCAGGACCAGCCCCAAGACTTTGTCTACCCAGGTCTTAAACACCTCCAAGGGTACAGACTCCACCACCTCTCTGTGGAACCTGTTCCAGTGCTTTACTATCTTCCTCATGAGCAATTTTTTTCTAATATCCAACCTCAACTTTCCTTGCTGCAGCTTGAGCCCATTGCTCCTTGTCCTGTCATCTGCCCCCACTGAGAACAGCCCCCCTGCAGGGAGTTGAAGGCTGCTATTCAATCTCCCTTGGTCTTCTCTTGTGCAAACTAAATCAGCCCAGTACCTTCAGCCTCTCCTCACAAGTCCTGTCCCCCAGCCCCACAACCATTTTCATTGCTCTCCTCTGGACTCTCTCCAATGTGTCCACATCCTTTCTGTAGTGGGGGCCCACAGCTGGACACAGGAGTCCAGATGTGGCCTCCCCAGTGCAGAATAGAGGGGAAGAATCACTGCCCTCCATCTGCTGGCAACACGACCAATGCAGCCCAGGATGCCGGTAGCCTTCTTGCCAACTAGGACACACTACTGGGTCATATTCAGATTCTTGTCCCCTGTCCCCCCAGGTCCTTTCCTGCAGAGCTGCTACCCAGTCTGCACCAGTGCATGGGATTGCTCCCTCCTAGGTGCAAGACTTTGCACTTGTTCTTGTTGAACCTCATGAAATTCCTTTTGGCCCAATCCGCCAATTCGTCTAGATCACTCTGAACCCTCCAATTTGTCTAGGTCACAGGAAGAGCAGGGGAAACACAGCAGCTATTTAAATGACATTTAAAGGCATGTATCATGGTACAACCATAGCTCCAGATTCACCACTGGCTGGAGCTAAGGGCCACCCCATGCCATTCTACTTCTCCTGAATGAGGGGCGTCCTGGAGTCTCCCACAGCCATGCCCTTTTCCAGTGGTTCAAACAGCTTGTTCACACTCGTGTAGGTGCTGGGAGGTCCCAGCCACGGCCAGGTTTGCCCTCAACATACTGCAGGTCCAGGACGCGTGGGATTGAATCTGAACCATGAAAGGGGCCATGCCCTCTCCACAGGATCAAGGAGCAATGACCCTTGTGATAACCAGGAGCCCGTTGTAGGGGTGAGTTAGTAAAGGGTTTGCTTACACTCTGTGGCCCCCTTGGCACATGTTTCTCATTCTGGTGCCCCTGGGCTGATGCTCTGATGCTCATAAAATCCGGTGAAGTTAATAGGGAAAGAGACTCTGGTGCGGTGACATTCAGAGCTGAGAACAAAGGGGTGAAATGGAAAAGAGCATTTATTGCCTTGCCGGCTCTCTGCTGCTTTATTTGATGCAGCAGTGCTGCTGAGTAGAGGGCTTCAGGTCTACAGCTGTACTGGCTGCTTGCTTTTCCTGAAATTAAATGGCCAGACCTTTGGTGCCACCATTAAATAATCACCGAGGAAGAGCTGCCCCACTGTCGACCCCTCCTCTCGGCTACCCAAGCTGTGAGAGCACAAAAGCACGAGCCGCCCACAAACAGTTTTAACAGCACACACCAAGTCTGCCTATTCAACGGCACGCTGAAAGGCCTGGAACGGAGTTGCTCCTTATTAATAGAGAGAAAGTGCCTTTGGCCAAGGGCAATGAACCAGGTATAAAGGGGCATTCGCGCTTTTGGGGAGCAGGCCTCTGCAAGCTCTTGGCCATTGTCAGTGCTGTGTGTTGTATCCTTCTCAAGGCAGACCTGTCACCTCTGATCAGGCCAGTGTCTTCTGACAGCTTTGTTGCTGTTGTTCCCCTCCATGCAAATGCCCATATCACCTCCATTCACCGCACTTCCCTAGCCAGGGCTGGGTTCTGCAAGGGACCCGAACACTAACCCTACGATGCCAGACATGGCCCGCCGTAGGACGGTGATGGGGCAGAGACTGCAACACAAAGGCTCTGCGAAGGCCCAAGAAGTCACGGGTATACGACGTCGCTGTGGCTCTTGTCTAGGGCCGTTCACACCGTTTACACACACTTCCTCTGCAGACGAGGAATTGTGACTACTGCTTAGGACCTTAATGAAGGAGTAGAGGGTGGAAAGGCCCAAATCCACAGCCTGCCCACCTGAGCAAAGGGGCTATGCTCCACGTAGCTCGGAGGGGCCGGGGAAGAGGAACCCTCCCTGCTTCCACTGCCCTTCTGTGGATGCAGCTGGCACTCAGCGCTCACGGGCGTCTTCTGCAGAGCATCCAGGGTAGGATGTCTCAGCACTGCCCCTGCCCGACTGGTCCGAGGTGCCTTGTTGTCTTTGGCCACGTAGGGCACATCCTGCATCAGTGCCAGGCAAAGCATGAAGCTGGGGACAGGGTTGTCCCCAAAAGTTTCACTGGGTTTTCCCACTCTTTCAGCCTTACAAGTTGCTCATTCCCTAGTTACCCTGAGGAGTTCATGAGGACATGGAAGGAAGAGGAAACACACCTGGGAGGTGGGGCATTGAAGCATGGCTGGAAAAAATACTGAGCTTGATGACCCACGAAACGCACAGCGTTCCAGCAAGGTGGCTAGTTCTCCTCAGTGCATAGCTCCAAAGGGGTTAAAGAGAAGACAGGTGCAATGACGTCCATGGCATAGACCAACCCCATGCAAAGCATATAGGGCTACACTGCCCTGTATTTATAATGGGAAAGCTGTGACGTCCCAGATCCTCTGACAGCAGCGGGCAGATGCTGAGTTTCTAGCAGGTTAGCACCAGTTAGAGAGGATGTGGGAAGTAGCTGAGGAGCATGCGTGAGGGAGCGGATGTGCAGACCTAATGGATCAGACCGATTTTGCCAAATCAGCTGATATTTCCTTTGCACATGTGCTTTGAATCCAAGATGGGTTCAGAGGATCTGGTTCATGATCAAAAGCCTACTAAATCAATAGGAGGCTTTTAGCTGGCACTGACTTCACTGTTCTTGCTGAGGTCCCCAGTAAAACTCACTCCGATTTCCACGGGATCAATTAAACCAATGCTAAGAGCTTCTGCAGACCCCGTCTGCAGAATGCAGTACAATCACTAGCCTTTTGTTCGCTGTGCTTGAAAACACCAGATAAGCTTATGCCCCTTAAAACCACGTTCTCTGTCAAGCCTGGCTTTTAACACTGGCTGAATTACAACATACAGCAAAACACTGGGCTCTTAAATCAGCCTCACCAGGGCTCAGCTATGCAATGCACCAGGTACTTCTGCCACAAATGTAGGCATGTGCTTCACTTTAAGCATGTGAGTGGTACCGTTGCGGGAAGTGTTTTGCTGACATGGGCCAGCATGTTCACCAGCTTGAAGCACTAAGCTCCAAAGAGCTTAAACTCTTCTAGATCAGAGGGGACCATTTTCCCAAGGATTTTAAACCCATCCCTACTCAGCTCTGTAAATACTGTTGGCTCTGAGGCTGAACAGCTGCACTACCCTGATCTGTGCTTACGTGCAAAGGTTATAACGGCAGCCGGCAGAAGTCAGCAGAGCTCCACTGAAGGCCAAGAAGCTAGTGGTTTGCAAAACGAAAGGATCTAGCCCATCTCTTACACACTGCGGCTGCTAGGGCATCTGCACCAACAAAAGGCCAGCCTGGTGTTGCAGAAACTGGAGTTCATGCTTATATCCATCTCCTTGGAGATTACTGTTAGGTTTAGGTGACTGGCAATCTAAATCCTGGTGGCAAGAAGTGATTCTTTTTTTTTCTTTAACCTTGGTCTCCAAACTGGATGTGGTTTAAATGCATTTCAATCATGGCACAGTTATAGGTCTGTGAAGTCTTACCACGCAGGAACAATTTAATGCACATACTCCTTCTGAAGGCAACCTCTCTGGTACAGGTAGAGCATCTCAATTTGAAAGCAAAATCTCCTTGACTCAACTGTTTCCTTAAATTTTATAACCTCTCGCAGAGTTCATGAAATGAAGAATTTGTACCACAGAAAGCTTTGCACAAGCCCTTTGGCAGCTCAAAGAAAGAAAACGTATTTAACTTGTAATTCATGGCCGAAAGGTGCACCGGGTGCCTCTGAAGCCCTTTGGCCCCATAACAGTTATCAAACACTTACTTGACTCGCTGTGGTCACAGTCCTGAGGATTGCACTTCTGGGTGTTTTCTGGCCACTGCTCGTGGTCACACAGGCTGCTGTCTTCTTCAACTGCACCCGTTTTAGTGTTCATGCATTTCACCTGCCGTCGCTGGATGCCTCCTCCACAGGTAGCTGTGCACTGCAGGGAGTTAACAGGGCAGGGTGTAAACAGCCGCATCCAGACCCGCCGCTGTCTTGTGGATGGTGGTGCTGGATGTGAGACTGTACTTCAGTACCTGTATTCAATGTACCCATGTACAAGAACACCCGAGCCAAATTCCTACACTGCCCCCATCAAACATGTGCAGCTCTTTATCCCCTGGCTGCTCCAGCCAGACCTGTTCCTATGGAGCACAAAGGCATTTTTATTGCACATAGCCCAAGGTTTATCTGGTGTAGGTCTGCACAAGATGGCTTTTAGCTAAGTCAATCAGACCTCAGCCCATCCTGGCAACAGAGCAGGCTTCTTGTTTGGCTGGAAATCAGGAGTATTTAGCTGCTTGCATCTGTATTATGAACTGTGACCGTATTGTCTTCCAAGCTGGACTCCGCAAGTTTGGATTTCACAAGTTGTCTAGTCAAATCGGGATGCCTTTGGAGTTCCTCTGCTTACCATGGAAGGCCAGGAGAAACTATTATTTGACTATGCTGTGCTATTTAGTGATACCAAGTCATTTTTAAAGGCCCTGTGCAGTTATTGTGGGCTGTGTCAGGGCTTATGGCTGCACCACACTGAAAGTTTCACTGGCCTAGCTAGTTATTGGCCACTGCTCAAGGTCAGTTGTACAGACCAGGTGGCACGAGATGTCTGCTTATCTGAGACTGCCGTCAAGTCCTCGGAAAACTGCCTTCCAGAGATGATAAGCATGATTAATTCTATTAGCAAGGCAGCAGAAGGAAATGCTTGTTTCTCTGGGATGTGTTTGCTCACCTGCCCCCAGGATCCCACCACCCAGCCGGTACATGGATGAGCGTTGCAGGGCCTCGTATTGTTTGGCCTCAGCATTTCCTCGCACCGTCCAAACTCTGGGCATGTCACCAGACGCTCCTGCTGTCCTCCTCCGCATGACTCGGAGCACTAGGGAAAAACACAGTGGCTGTCAAAAACAGGAGATCAATTTGAGATAGTGGATCAGGAGGTACGTGGCTCTTTCTGGGTCCTTACGGAAATAGTGTCAAGTGGCTCCAAAAAAAATCTGCCTCTAGTGCTGGATGCTCTTGTTTAAGTATCCAACTGTGGGTAGTGGGTGGTTTCACTCCAGCTAAACTGGATCACAGTTGGCCCCATCAGCTCATCAGAAGACAGGAGGTCTCAGTTTGGAGACAGGCCTGCTCTCTACGCTGCAGATACTTAGAGGGTCAAATTCTGCCCACAGCTGAGCTCAGGC